GAAGTACTTTCAGTTTCATGAATTTGAACTGATTCCTCAATTTTTTCATTCTCCAACGAAAGTTCATTTTTGCCATTATGCGATTGATTATTTTCTATAGTCATTAGGATTTTCTGAAAACTTGGGTTAATACTGGATTTAAACGGCTCTATAAATACCATTTCATCAAAATAAAATTGAATATTTTTCGAATATATAAAGATTTATGAATGTTATGAATATTTACAAATTTCATAATAATTACGAATAGTAATAGGACTTTTTAATTAATAATTACGAAATTTTGACGATTAATTAAAAAATAGATTATTAAACTAATAATAATTTTTAACGATTTAATAATTAAAATCTATATAAAGTATAGAAGGTATCGATAGTTAGCGATTAACCATAAAATATGAATAACTTTATGTATTCAAAAATAAATATTTAGCAACATAAACGCGTAAATTTATTCTTAATCTGCATGTTTTATGATTAATCGCTGACTACATCATTCTATTGATACTTCTATACTTTAATTATTAAATCGTTAAAAATTATTATTAACTTTAGTTATTAACCTAAAATTAAAAAGTCCCATCGCTAATTACGAATATTCATAATATTATTCGTAACCGGCGGTGGTAATCCCCGGTGTTACCCCTGAAATTTAAACACCCTCAAATTTCCTTAATGTTCCTTTATTCTATTTTTTAAATTGGACCCGATTCGTCCCATTTTGAGTTTGCCGGAGCGGCATCTCCGAAGTTCGGGTGACGTCACTGCCGCGGTATGTATTTTGTTAAAATGAACAAGTATAAAGGATAATTTCTTATTTGAAAGTATATAATTTTCTATGTATAAGTGGTTTTGATTACAACAACGTTGAAGTAATTACCGTATACTTCCGAAATTAAGCACCCTCGGAGCAATTTTTATAGCCAAAATTCTCGTGATCTAATAATCGGATCTACGTAATTTTGGTACCATCCGAATCAGCTTGCCAAAAAAGATTCGAATGGTACCAAAATTATGCAGATCCGATTATTAATTAGATCACGAGAATTTTGGCTATAAAAATTTCTCCGAGGGGGTGCTTAATTTCGGAAGTATACGGTAGGTCAATCCGTACTGTTATGAGTATTCGTAGATTTTTGATAATTATTGGCTTGAGTAGATACTCTGCCCTTAACGCAAGTTTTGTTGCATAATATTATATAACAATTCTCGTTCAAAGTTTTCAAAATTCTATTTTTATCTTAAATATTAAGATTGATTGAACATCGATATTTGAATTTAAGAAATTTTCCCCGAATACCCATAACGGTACGGGTTCGATTACTATTGCTGCGGCAGTGACGTCAATCATCAACCTAGTAAACTCGTCCCACTCTAGTTTCTTTATTTTTTATTTCTGTATTAAGTATTACATATCTATTCCTTATTTTATATCCCTAATACGTATCTTACTGGGGTGTTCGATGCAAGTCTAATTACAAACATAGTGCAAGTGACATAGCGACGATCATTAGTCCAATTTTTTTATAGTAAAAATTTTTTAGATCTTCACGCAATATTGAAAACTATAGAAAAATCGCTTCTTTCATTTTTTTATTCCTCTCGTAATATTTAATATTTTTCAATTCTATAAACGCAAAACGTTTAATAAAAGCTGTCTTTACAAAGTAACAACGTTAGAATTTTACTTATTGTTTAGTAATTAGCTATATTTGCTTTGTAAATTTGGTCTAATAAAAATCAACTAGATTACTAGTTTCGATCGAATAGACTCCATTAAATATAATAAAGTATATATTAAAAAGGTTTATAATATATAATATTATCACATGTTTTTTTAAATTTAATAAAAGCACAAAAATTTTACAAATTAAACTAAAGATCTAACTATTCACAGCTTATCAATCTGTAGCTTTTTTGTTACGTTGTCACCAGGTAAGAAAGCTGCTGAGAATTTCATAAGCCTTTTCTTCTTTAGAAACTCGACACTTTCTAATTCTAATTGCTTAGTGCCTTTAGAATTATTAATTTCTTTCCGTATACTTCGCAATATATCTTGAGAAATTTTTTGAACTCCACTGTCCAAACCCGAAAGTTGAATACGTGATTCCTGTAATTGGATGTTCATGTTTGGATGAACCTTCATATCATAACGATTGAATAGGCCTTCTAGTTGCTGTTGGTGCACTGTAATGCTCCATATGCGGTATTTAATGAATTCGTATACAAGAGGAAACTTTGCTGGTTCTGCTACATCAGAACCAGCAAAGGCCTCAAATTCTTCAAAAAAATCGTGATGTGCTAACGCTTTTAATAGCCCAAAAGTGTTCAAACATCCACTAGATAGGTCTTCTTTCAAAAGCTTGATATAAGAAATCTCTTTTGGGGTAGGAGCTTTTAAAAAATTTTTATTGAAAAATACAATTAAAAAAGTACAAGCAAATTCAGGTCCATTTACACCACCTAATCGACAAACAGAAAGGGGTAAGTGAATCCAGGTTTTCATCCATTTAATGAATCCATTTAATGTACTTTCTATTCCAGTATATAATGATGTATGGAAATTTTCAAAGTCTATTGCATTCAACTCACATTTAGCATCATTTAACTCATTGCCAAATAATTCATAAATATTTTCTAGGCAATATTGAAGCTTTTGAATTCATAACATTATATTATCAGGCATTTCATGTGCGCGATTACCTGATGGAAGAATATTAATATTATCTTGATGATGAATTTGTGGAATTGGGTCATACCCAGTTAGAAAATTATAAATAGGCTCATAAAACTCTAGGCCAAATTTGACGAGGCATTGTATTTGGAGATTAAGTCGCTTATCGGTAAGCCATTTAAAAAATATTTGCCACTTGTTCAAATATGATTTTGGAACATCTTTGGCATTTTCTAGTTGTTTAATAAAAAATTGTGCAAAGCTAATATGAACCTCACGGCTATTAAGATATTGTTTGGCAGTTTTGAATTCATATAACCATCGTTGGCGAATTGGCTGTTGGTATTAACTCATTTCAAAATTGAACAAAGTTTTATAAAGTTCACGCAATATTCCAGATTTTAGATTTAGCAGGCTGTCTTTATCTGAAAGGTTATATCCATCATGAAGGTAAAAAGCAAGATTAAGTAAATTATACGGATGTTCTTTTAACGATAAGCCTTTAATACTATCTAATTTTCCAAATGCTGCATTTTCGAAATTCATTAGAGCAATATAGGTTGCATGCAACCCACAGGGAATCCAGAATGAATTAGATGTTGCTAATGAATTGAACTTAGCAACTGTGCCATTAACCTTTGAAGATATATAAACTGTATTATCCGTTAACCAAAAATAACATTTTTTAGAATCAATTCCCTTTTTGCAGCATGTCTCAAATATCATAGTTGAAACTGTTTCAGCATTACAATGTGTTAAGTCTTTTAATTTTATTACAGAAATTGTAGGCTTTTCTTGAGTATGATTCCAATATGAAAGGCAAATAATTAACACTTTCATTTCTCTCCGTGTACTTTCATCAACCATAATTCTATAACCAAAAAACCTAGAAATTTCAATAGGACAGTTTTGGGTAAAAGACAAGGCCGCCATTTCATTATTCCACCTTGCTAAAGTTTCTCCTGCTACCCAGTGCCGTGGAATTTCTCCGGTTAAGAATTGATAAACGGCTTTAGTGCATTCTATTGTTGCACTTATCAAGGTTCATCCTATAGTACTAATATCAGTGGCTAACTTTACAAACCTCGCATCATATTTATTATTATTAATTTTAAATAATTTGTTTGCTACACATTGGAATTGAACAGGGCAAATTTTTTTCGCTTTACGAACAGAAGCCCAAATTTTTGAAACTTGTTTTTGTTTAGATTGTTTGGATCTTGCTATTTTCATGGAAAGTGAATGAGTATTAAAAGAAGATTGAAGTCTAGATTCAGATTTAAGTCTTTTTAAACGCCGATTCTTTTGTTTTAATTTTTTAATTTTTGATTTTAATATATTAATAGTGTAATCATGTTTATAAAAACTAGTTCCTATAAACTCACAAGCCTTTTTTTGTAAATAGGCAGAAATTATTTCTTCTTTACGATTTTCCCGAGAATATGTCATTGTTTGAAGAAGTGTAGATGCATCAAAAATTTGGTAATCAGGTAAATTTAAAAGTTGTTTAAGTATATCATTATGTTTTATCTAAATATAAGTGTTCATTTTTTGAGACTCAATTATATTTTTTATCATATAATTGAAATCATTATCGTCTAATTTTTCGAGTATTAAAATTAGACGATCAAGTAAGTCTTTTCGTTGATCATACTTCCGCAACATTTTGGCATTTTTAAGTTGTTTGTTTTGTGCGCTTAACTGACTCATTATACTGTAGTTATAATGTTTGTTATGATGGTAATTACTATACTTGTCAGCAAACACTTTAAGGTTTGGCAATTAGATTTGTATTAAGGATTTGAATATTTGTGATTTGGGATTTGTAATGATTTTATTATATTGGAATTGGGATTTAGAAACGTTTTATGCTTGAGATTTGAAAATTTTAAAACTATATATAGTACTAATTATCTAATTATTAAATTTATATCATCTCGATATAACGAATTCATAGTCATTTTATATTGCTTCGCAGAATAATAAAATCACAAAAATCAGTATCTTTAATAAAGATAAAAATAGTAAATTTAAGAGATTTGATTATTGTTGATATATGCATTAATATATTATACTTTTTTATCATATTTAAATAAAGTATATTTATTTGTACATTTAAATAGCAGTAATAATGATTGCTTTTATTTAATTTTATTTAAGTTCTATATCGAATTGAAGTTTAACAAAAAGCTTTTTGATTCGAATTTATTCATATTGAATTGTAATTTAATCGAACAGTCCTTAATAAAGATAAAAATAATAAGTTTAAAAGATTTGATTATTGCATTGATACATTATACTTTTTATTATTTTATATTTATTTGTATATTTAATGATATAAAAATAATAGCAATAATAATTGTTTTTATTTAATTTTATTTGAGTTCTATATCGAATTGAAGTTTAACAAAGAACTTTTCGATTCAAATTTACTTATATTGAATTGTAATTTAATTGGACAGTCTCAATAATCTAAGAATACCTTCCAATTTGTAATAAATCTCAGCAGATGATTATTAAAATTTTTAATCTAAGAATGCTTTCTAATTTGGAATAATTTTGACAGATGATTGTTAAAATTTCTAATGATATACTTTCTTTTATAATGCAAAATCCTTTATACAATATGTGATTATAAAAGAAAGTTAATTGTAAGTATAAATATGCTATCTAAAGTCTTTTGAAAAATCAATATGCATCAATAGCCTTTAAATAGTTAAGTACTAAAATATACAACTAAAAATTTTCATAATGTAATACAAAAACCTTCAATGATTTATAATTAAACTTCTAGTATTACAATCATATTTCGACATTTGCATCAATAAAAACTGATATTACTATATTTGAAAGTATAGAACCTAAATATTTTTTATTATACTGTTTTTCATTTTTTTTTTTTTTTTTTTGGTATTAAGGTAACCTCTTTGGTCTGAGGAACTTTTTATTAAAGTATAGACGAAGTTTTATATGTAATTACAACGATGGTACATCAAGCCACACGTGCACCTTTT